AATCAGAGCAGACTGGGCTCTGGTTTCAGACAGAGGGTGAAAAGAGGTGCTGCAGGACAGGCAGTATGAGAAAAATAAAGAGCTTTTTGAACATTAAAGCTTGGAGACATGTCCCACTAGAGACACTACATAAAAATATGAACCTGAAAATGAGCATTTAAAATATTCTTCTTGGAATAAAACACTAAAGAAAAAAGAAGATGAACAATTGTTTATATTGTACAATATCTTTTTTTAAATGGGTCAGATCATGCTGTACGCTCGGCAGCAACACCAATATGTATCAGAAGAGTGGGTTGGGGGGCACTTTTGTACATGTTTCCCTTCTTATTCCCCTTTCTTTTGTCACCCTTTGCTGACCACACCGGTCTTCAAATTCCAACTACACATCTGTAGAGTTTCGTCACCACACATACTCGGGTCAATCAATCAATGTTTATTTATATAGCCCAATATCACAAATGTTACATTTGTCTCAGTGGACTTCACAGTTTGTACAGAATATCAGTATGACAATACGACACCCTCTGTCCTTAGACCCTCACATCGTACAAGGAAAAACTTCCAGAGAAAACCCACAGTTTAAAGGGAAAAATGGGAGAAACCTCAGGGAGAGCAACAGAGGAGGGATCCCTCTCCCAGGACGGACAGACGTGCAATAGATGCCGTGTATAAATTGAAAAGATAATACATTTGCAACATAGGTAGTCTCTAGAAGCACATTGGTGTTACGCTGTATTATTACGTTACATATTTCTATATTATTAGAGTCAAACACTAAAACAGTACACAGTTTAAGTAGATGGCATTGTGTATTGCTTATTCTTTCATGCACAAATAAAAAATACAGAAACATAACAGAACACATATTTTACAGTGCTAGAACTGGCAGAAAACCCACGATTAGTATCAGAAGATTAATACAATAAAAAATATATAAATTCAATAGTGATGGCAAATTATTAGAGCAAAATATAATAAAAATAACAATGAAATATAGAAACATCAAATAAAGGAACTGTGTTTTTGAAAGGAGTTTTTGTGTATGTGGGTACATTTCAAATGAATGTAGAGAGAACATGTTTAGATGCATTACATTTAACATCATTCAAACGCTCACCCTCAACATATGATATTATGTTAACATTTGATGTACTGTGTGTATATTCACAATGTATTGTTTTTGCCTCTGGAGGAGATGTAAAAACGTGTCTTGCTCGGCACCTTTATTTAAAACTCATACACATTGAGGAAAGATGGAAAGACTATACCGCAGATAAAAGCAAACATTATGTAGGCAAAAATAAACACTGAAACAAATAGAAGCTGTGTTTGATGTCAAGGTTACAATTATTAAAGCAAATGGGTGTGCATACTAATGCATAACATGATATTCATAGAGCAGAGCACAGCGGCGCCTGCTGGTGTGTGTGAGACATTGCAGCCTGTCTAACGTCTCTGTTGTGTTGCAGGACCACTGTCACTATCAGGGCTACGTTCAGGACATGGACGGTTCCTCTGTTGCTATGAGCATCTGCAACGGCCTCAGGTAAAGCATGCACACACACACACACACACACACACACACACACACACACACACACACACACACACACACACACACACACACACACACACACACACACACTTCATACACACTGTACACACTCCCCTCTCTCTCAAGGACAAAGTTTCCTATTTATATTCCCCTCACAGATGGCTGCGTGTGTGTTTGTGTGTATCATCCATCCTGCTGTTTAAGACTGTGTGATTTCTTATTAATTAATATGGTGGACTACACACACATCTTTTGGCTTAATTAACAGTTTGACTTTCTGAATCATTGTGCAACACACACACCTATCTCTGTGTAACACCGGTCTGAGCTGAACCTTAAAGGGCCAGTTCACCCAAAAAACGTTGTCTTTGCCTCAAATTCGGTGCCATCACATTCAGTTACACAGATTACAACCATACTTGTCAACCCTCCCGATTTTCGCGGGAGACTCCCGATTTCATTGCCCTCTCCCGGTTTCCTCCCGGGGTCATATTTCTCCAGCATTTCTCCCGATTTCTGACAAAATCANTGCTATGTATATAAATGTCATATGTGAGGGGACTACGGATGGAAATTAGCTTTTAACAATTAATCCTTCAAAATGTAAATATGCCGGATTTTAGCTTTTAGCTAATTTCCATCCGTAGTCCCCTCACATATGACATTTATATACATAGCAAAAATAAATACATGATGCAGAAAGAGCAAGAGCAGCATATGCAAGCATGGCAGTATGAGTAGTAGTAATGAGATTTGAGCTTTACTGAAGCAGGTGAAATGACCCTAACACTTTAAATTGTACCGAATAATACATCTGTATTTACCCAAAAAGAGATGAGATCAAAGTGTGACCATAGGGGAAGTTTCCGAACATCAAATGTAATCCCCAATCTTGTGAAACGTTGAAAGGCAAACAAGCACAGACTTAAATATACAAGCTTGCATTACAAGGTTGGCAGGTACCAGCGCCAAATGTAAGACTAGCACTACAGGTGCAAAACCCTAATCTGAAACACGTCCTTCAGAATGATTTATATTCCACAGGTGTCAAGCTCAATGTGAGAATATTACTCAAATGTATGACCTCAGACTGTAACTGCAGGCAGAAATTAGAACTTAATATATTAATAACCCCACGCCTTCACCCGTCTCTTCTCAAAGATTAGTCCCTCTCTCCTCGTAACTGATCTAGTCTTTTTTTTTTTTTCCACCCTAAAATCCAGCTTTATTGAAAAAGGTGTCAGACAGCGTGACTGAGAATGATTCACCACCAGACTGACTTCATTAGAGGCAATGTGCAGATGTATGACCCTGATGTCTCATATGTTTAACTCAAGTCATCACTGCTCCAGGGAGTTTGATACATTTTGGACTTCTTGATTTTTTCTTTCCCCTCACAGTTTTTTTCAGTGCAACAGTTTAAAGGGTGGATAAAGAGGCAGAACTTTTTTGAATCTGGAGATAAAGTGGATTTCCAGTTAAATAGGTTCTGTTGCTGTTAAAAAAAAATGGGGATTAAGCCTATGGCCTACTGACTGAATTACTGTATAGTATTATATAACTAACTGTGTGTCTGTGACAAGCTCATGTGTCCACAACAAGAATCCATACTGGGACATGTCTCCATGCTTTAATGTTCAAAAAGCTCTTTATTTTTCTCAGAGTAGGCTTGTTTGAGACAAGCGAGACCTGCGCAGACCTGCGCAATTTCGATCAACGTCTTGCTCGTGCGTTAGTCATTTTGTCCGACTTGCTCTGGAGGCTCGCTCACATGAGACGTTGAAATCTCGCGGGACAAAGACGCCCGCAGCCTTGAGAGCGAGGCGCGGCGAGGCGGCGCAGTTCCTCTCCACGGGCTGCGGAGGCGAAATGCTTGATGGGAAATGACTCGCTGGTATCTCGAGCTGAGCGCTCATTGGTGGTTTTTACCCCGTGCTGCTGATGAAACTCTCCAATTGGCTCGGCAAAAGTNAACCTGCAGAGAAGGGAACATCTTACTTGCACCAGGAGCTATCTTGGCGGGACTTTCTACTGAGACAACGTTGACTTGCCTGTAGAATAAAAAATAAACCATAGTGTTGGTGATCTACAGTGCTGTTGTCATTCTTCTTTGAACACCAGCAAGACCGCTAACACCCTATTTCAACAATCACACTCCCTGTCATTGACATAATTAATAGATAGTTTAGCTTCTCGCCATCATTTGCTGTGGTCAACTGATGTTAACGATCGTAACTGAAAGGCTGCCTGCCAAACGTAAACATTCAGCCAAACTCTCGCGAGAGTTTTACACAAGACGGATCCTTTCTAGCCATAACCGACTTGCTCTGGAGACTCGCTCACATGAGACGTTGAAATCTCGCGGGACAAAGACGCCCGCAGCCTTGAGAGCGAGGCGCGGCGATGCGGCGCAGTTCCTCTCCACGGGCTGCGGAGGCGAAATGCTTGATGGGAAATGACTCGCTGGTATCTCGAGCTGAGCGCTCATTGGTGGTTTTTACCCCGTGCTGCTGATGAAACTCTCCAATTGGCTCGGCAAAAGTTGTTGTTTGGTGTCAGTTTTACGTCGCCAGTTCCATTCACATTTTTCATCATTGTTCCACAATGTTTATCATCATGAAATTAATATCTATATATGTTATACTATACTTGCACTGCTTACCGTTTTTATACTTTATATATCTTAGCATATTCATACACACTGTTCATACTGCTCACAGGCTGCTGTGTATATCTAGTGTATTCATACCCCTCACTGTTTATTCATCATTCACTTCATTCTATCTTTTATTCTGTAGATTGTGTACATTACTTTTCACTTTACTGCTTGTTGCACTCCTGGTTAGAAGCTAAACTGCATTTCGTTGTCTCAGTACCTGTAATCTGTGCAATAACAATAGAGTTGAATCTAATCTTGAGCAGGAACAAATGTATTTACTTAGTANTAGGATGTTTATTAGTATAGTTTAGTTTGTCTAAAATATGCTTAATACCACATAGTATAGTATCTCGAAAAGATGCAAAAAAACAACAATTAACATGTCCCATATGGTCTAGCGGTTAGGATTCCTGGTTCTCACCCAGGTGGCCCGGGTTCAACTCCCGGTATGGGAATAGGATATCTATTGGTTTGGTTTGTCTAAAATATGTTAAATACCACAAAGTATAGTATCTTGAAATATCCAAAAAAACTACAATTAACATGTCCCATATGGTCTAGCTAGCGGTTAGGATTCCTGGTTCTCGCCCAGGTTCATCTCCCGGTTTGGGAATAGGATATTTATTGGTATAGTTTAGCTTGTCTAAAATATGCTAAATACCACATAGTATAGTATCTTGAAAAGATGTATAAAAACAACAATNGTATGGGAATAGGATATTTATTAGTATAGTTTAGCTTGTCTAAAATATGTTTAATACCACATGGTATAGTATCTCGAAAATATCCCAAAAAACTACAATTAACATGTCCCATATGGTCTAGCTAGCGGTTAGGATTCCTGGTTCTCGCCCAGGTTCATCTCCCGGTTTGGGAATAGGATATTTATTGGTATAGTTTGGCTTAACTAAAATATGCTAAATACCACATAGTATAGTATCTAGAAAACATGTAAAAAAAAAAAATTAACCCGTCCCATATGGTCTAGCGGTTAGGATTCCTGGTTCTCACCCAGGTGGCCCGGGTTCAACTCCCGGTATGGGAATAGGATATTTATTAGTATAGCTTATTTTGTCTAAAATATGCTTAATACCACATAGTATAGTATTTCGAAAAGATGTGAAAAAAAATCAATTAACATATCCCATAATGGTCTAGCTGTCAGGATTCCTAGTTCTCACCCAGGTGGCCCGGGTTCAACTCCCTGTATGGGAATAGGATTTATATTGGTTAAGTTAGTCGAAAATATGCTTAATACCACATAGTATAGTTTCTCGAAAAGATGCAAAAAAACAACAATTAACATGTCCCATATGGTCTAGCCGTCAGGATTCCTGGTTCTCACCCAGGTGGCCCGGTTTCAACTCCTGTTATGGGTACTTTATATTTATTAGTATAGTTCAGTATGTCTAAAATATGCAAAGAACGACATAGTATAGTGTGTTGAAAATATGTCAAAGAATTGCATAGTATTGTATGTTGAAAAATATGCAAAAAACTACGTAGTACAGTATGTCAAAACACATGGAAAAAAGGCATGAAAAGGCAAGTCTTTCGTAATACATTAATTTCTTATTCTTAATGCTAAATTATTCAAGTCCAAAAAGCATAACCCATAATGTCAAATTCTTAGGATTGCTACGTGTATGGGAACAGGATTTATATCAGCCTCCGCTCAAAATTGTGAGAAAAATCTGATAATGACATTATGAGTCAATGTGTAATCAAAACATATCCTCAAAAATGTCACAGTATAGTATGTTTTAAAGAAAACAAAAAAGTAATAGTACAGTATCTGAAAACAAGTAAAGTGAAGTATGTTAAAATGTAATTTAAAAAAGGTCATAATATAGCAAGTGGAAAAATTGCAAGAAGCCCTGGCTTAGCGTGTCGACAAAAAGTCCTAGTATAGCAAGTATTAAAAAGTCAGAGCAAATTATATCATAAGGTCATAGAATAGTGTGTCAAAAAATATGGAAAAAGTCATAGTATAGCAAGTATTAAAAAGTCAGAGTATACTGTAGCAAGTATTACAAAATCAGAGTATACAGTACCAAGTATTAAAAAGTCATCGTATAGTATATATATATATAGTGTATGTCAATAAGCTCATAGAATTGTATGGAAAAAAATATGGAAAAGTCATAATATTTTATCAGGGAAACAATTATATGGTCTTGGTATAGAATGTTGAAAAATAGTCATAGTATAGTATGTTGAACATTGAATGTAAAAAGTCACATAATTTGGTAAAAGAGGTCATAGTATTTTATGTCCAAAAGAGATGTTTTGACATCACTGGTGAGCTGTCACCCCAGCTTTGTGATCTGCTCTAGTTGGTAGACTTGGTGAAGGTGGCTCTCTGCCGCTTTATCGCCTCACAGCTCTGAGGGTGAAGAGGACCCTGTTGGAGATGTTAGAGAGCCAAGACATCAAACTGTGACAGAGAGTGAGGATCTCATCACCAGAGAGCTGTCACTGCCACTTACATTGGCTATTGGAGGAAGGAGGGGAGAGACTGTGACCGAAAGGACAAAAGAAATTGACAGCGAGGATGAGCGATGGAGATAGGAAGGAAGCCATAAAAATGAGAGGCAAAATATTTATTATGAGACTGGAGATCTGCTTCCCATTGTCTGAGCAACCCCTGCCTCAGTATTCTGAGAAGGCTGAGTGGTTGTATGATGAAAGAGAGGAGCACTTAATTCCCTGTGATTTGTTCTGAATTGAGGAAGCTTCTGCCCTGTCCTATATAGCAGTATTCTATGTGCAGGTGTTTTTTACTTGTATTGCTTTCATATCTCTTCTTTTGACTCAGTATCTGTAAACTCTATCCATGGTGCCATTCATCCAAAAGAAAAAACCTTGATTGTGATTAATTATAAAACATACAGTATTTCAAACAAAAAACTATTTTCCTTTATAGAATTCAAATGTAGATTTAATTTCAATATTAAAAAAGACCTCTGACTTAACATTTGTCATTGAGGAATTTGGTAATTTGGATTGTCCTTCAGCATTAGAGGCATTGCTCTTTTCATCATCTCTTCTTTCTGCTCACAATTCATTTATACATAATTTAACAGAAATCGACTGATAATTATTACATTGCTGGATGTCATAATATGTTTTTGATGATTTATCTGTGTAAAGAATACAGTATGTCCCGTCCACTCTACCACTATGGCATGTGCCTTGTTTAATCCGTGTATATGTTATTAATGAGAGTGGATCTGGATGACATTACCCAATAAAAACGACTACAGTACAGTATGTGTATGAAGGCTTGTCTATTCATGTTGAATGCTGCTGGAAGATTCATGTTATAGTTTCTTAATGCAAACAAATGAAATCCTCATGTTCTGTTTTCAATGTTGCATATAAATATAATTTATTATTAGTCTTAAAAATTCTTTCTTACACTTTGTACAGTAACATGACAGATGAAATGCAAGCAGTTTGCGAGGAACATCATGAGTGCCAGTAACAGACAGGCTACATTATCACTATACACAATAATAATCATGAAGCTGAATAGCAACTAGGGAATGCAAAAGGCTAGCCCACTGAGAATGTAAAGATTGTTTCAGAAAGATGCAAAGTTTGCATAGGTGGCTTTACGAAAACTGGGACAACTGCCATAAAAAAAAATCCAATACCAATTGAGAACGCTTGAACAGTACTGTTGCATGAAAGGAATGTTGTGTTTACAACTGTCACTATTTTTTTAATCCCACAGTCAGTGTCATAACATTGATGGCTTCTGATATTAATGTACAAACACAGAAGTTTAAATCTCTGTTCTCCAAAATCACAGATGACTCATTCAGTTCTGAACACAGGAAATACAATTGAAAAAAAAAAGTGTTATGAACAATGTTAGATTTTTAGATTATCACCCTCTGTGTTACATTTGACCTCATACACTGTATGTCAATTATTTGGTAAAAAGCAGTGGTATTCAGTTGCATTGGTCCTACAAAAATATACTTATATGTTTCCCTTTTCTAAAGTAGTTTCCCCTCCTTTCTGCCAGCATCAGGTTCCTTGAATGTAGGCAATATCACCTTGAACAACCTACAAATCATCCACATCTGTCATGAATGTTACTCAGTCGAGGGAAATAGTCTTAGTCACCCTCTATTAAAAGGGTGATATACCGATGTAATGAGCCAAATTACCCGATAACAAACATGCAAAGAAAGTCAATAAAAATCATTACCAATGCAACTTATCAAAAGAATATTTTAAAGATCTAAAACAAATCATGTAAAATAAGCACACATAATTGAAAATCAATAATTATACATGACATGAATAAAAAGTATTAAGAGTAGTTAAGACAGCGACACTAAAGCTGTCAAATGGTTACATCATTGATTTCCTTCTGTACATGTAAATAAGTCATTACTGCAAGAGTCCACCGGGAGGTGCTATGACACAGTCAAACATAATGGAAACAAAATGTGAGGACACTGCAAAATATTCCATAACAGGCAGAATAAAATACAAAAAAAGATATGTATAAATAGGCATATTATTAAATACTATGTTATCACAGAACATATCCTCATCCATGGAGTTGCTATGGAGATTGGTTTTGGAGAGTGAAAGATGATTCCTCTGATCCAAGCCTTGCCTCTTTGACCTTTTATAGCGTCTCACTACTTACTCAACTTGTCTATAGCAAGGGCATCATCCACACATCCGCACAGTCCATCAAAAAAAACAAACGGACAGCTGTTTCCAGGGAAACTAGAGCCAAAAATATCAGGTTGTTGAACCAGAAAGGGAGACATAAATGACAGAGATTCTTGTTTACCCTCCAAGTTTTTACAACATTTGTTGCCAAGGTTTAACTGGGTCATGGCTGAGTAGACCTGGCTGTTTATTTTTTCCTACTTCTCTGAGTGTGCACACACACTCACCCACACACAGTATCTGTGAGCGAGCATGTGCATATGTCATTGTGATTTGTCAAATGACTCGCCAGCTTTCCGGCATCCCCCTCTCTTATCTTCTTTTATGTCTTCTTGCTCCCAGGAGTGTCACACTCCCTGGTGGGCAGATGTCAGTGTTCAGTCGCTAAAGGAACAAGGCTGTCATGTCGCCCCATCTCCTCCAGCACCTGGGCCAATCGACCGAGGTTGCCATCAGGAAAATGCTGCGCCTCCCACAAGTCCAGGATGACTCCCGTAGGACTGGATTTGGTGGCAAAGTAGTTAAGATACCTGTGTGAAGAATTGTGACAAGAGACAGGAATGAGTCAGAAATAAGTAGCAAAGGGTTAACAGAGATTAGTAGGTTTACTTGAATCATAAGGTGGGACATGGCAAGTCTCCTAACATGGTTTGAAAAATGATTTCAGGGGGGAGACTATGCAAAATACCTGCTAATTGAGTCGCTTTAAGAAACTGAATAAATAAATACAAAGAAATAACTTATATAGAATTTGTGCTGGAAATGATGATTTTAAAAGCCCATCTTTGACAAAGGGTTCACCCAGTTTTTAATATTCAAAATAAACACTTATAAATCCTTTAGTTTATATGTGAAAAAAAATCTAAATGGAAACTAATGAGCCATATTTATACTCTTCTGTTCTGTATGTATCATCAGTGTGAGTGAGAGGTTGGTTCAAGTCTCCCTGCTCGCTTCTTCGCTCCCGCCACACTCTGTCAGTGGCTTCGTCAATCTGCAGCTGCTGCCTGTGATAAGGCCTCCCCGCTGAGCTGGGACCTTATAAATGAACACTCACAGTATCTCTATCACACACACATAAGACTATCAAAGACTCATGGGTGACGATTTGAAAGGAGAAGCGTCATTCTGTCTTTGTCTCTCTCTCTCTCTGTCCGTCTCAGTTCAGTCAAACTCAATTAATCTCAATTCAGCAGATGCCTATCAAAATGAGTCACATTCCCACAGAAAAGTCAAAATCAAATCAAAAGAGTCTAGTTGAATACTGTTTATTTCCCTGTGTGATATCTTCCCTACTTCTAATGAAAAAAGCACAAGGCAGTGCAACCCACACCATGACGAAGAACAGGGAGGTTGTGTATGTTTGTTTATTTCTAAAATAAATCTATGTAATACCTTCAGTTCATCTCTTTATTTTTTTAAAACATTTCTAATGGATGATTAATGAAAGCCTACTACTGATGCAATACTAAAACCGCTTAGGGCCTAAATTAGATGTAACTCCTTTTTCTCTCGGACCGCCTTGGTACCCTACCCACCTGTCAAGGTTTAGTTTGTGGGCAAACATCCTCCAGTCGTTTCCCCGGGTCTGCGGTGCATCCAGACTGCCGCACAACTTCTGTCGGATAGAGACGGGGATGCGGAAGGCATTGGGCCCCACCAGTGTGGTGATGTTGCTGGCGGGGTCCAGCAGAGATGTGTCGATACTCTGGGAATTCTGCAGAGAGAGAAGGAGGATGAAGGTGAGACACACATTTTTTAAAAGCATATACATAATTGAATACCATCAAGTAGCTCAACATCCATTCGTAGTACGGAGAAATGTTGTTTGTAGTTTCTATAAAAAGTAAAAATTCATTCATTCATTATCGTCATACATTTATCGACATGAGCGAATTCTTTATTAGGATCCCCATTAGCACTAGCATGAGCATTGGCTATTCTTCCTGGGGTCGTCACACACATACATAAAACAAAACTAAAACAAGACAGCACATAATTTCATGCAATTTACAATGCTATATGAAGTGAAAACTAAAATGGTCATCCAATTTTAGCCATCATAAGGCCAAACAAAAAAATACAAATAATTGTACATATTAATAAATACATAGCCACAGGCACAGTACAATCCAGCTGACAAGCGAGTGATTTTGAAATATATGTTGACATTAGGTGATGGAGGTCTGGCTACAGAAACCATAACAAGACCCAGGGACAAAATGAATCAAGGCACCGCCCTGCAGTGCATGTACTGTAATTCATCTCATTACTGAGCATAAAGACCGAATGCTCCGCCATCCCTCAAGCTCTATCCTCCTGGCCAGATGGCCTTTGTGAAACAAGCGCTGCAAGACTTGAGTTTGATTATCCCCCCTCTGCTCTGCTATTGCCTGTAATAGGCAGGACCCCCCATTTTCCTCCATCTTAGTCTTTGTGGACATGTCAGCAAATAGGACATGCAGAAGAGGTTAAAATCACCACAACAAGTTAAGAAAGAGTATTGTTTCGAAGGAAATGCATTATCTTTATTATTCCGTTTCCTTTCATACATTTCAACTTAACTGATCCTTTTTGCAATCTATTGCATGTATATGTAGAATCATTCGTTATGCTGTTATAAATCAAATACGTGTTTAGTCTATATTCAGGCATGTGTAAACCCTACCTCTGACAGTGTAGTGTCCAGCTGGAAAATCTGTCCTTCTCCTTCCACCTGGCGCACGCATATCTTACAGGCCAGGTCCACAGTGCTGGAAGAAAACCGCTCCAGGGTAAAGCAACAGTGGAGGTTCCTCTGTGAGCCGCTCCACACTTGCTGAAAGGAAAGCTCCTGCAGAGAGGTGAAGAGGGTCGTATTTTTTACTCAGCTTTCAGAGAGCATGTGGAAATGTTTAAGTCCTATTTTTCTGAAAGGCTTTATGACTAGTTTACCTGGTACTTGGCTAAGAGTTTGCTCTTCCACAACGTGTGAGGGACATCGTGGATGGAAAGTCTCAGGTTGTGGGTGCTGTCTTTAAAGCTGAGAGTCTTTGGTTCATCTAACAATTTCCCCCCCATTTGCTTCTCCATCTGCAGTACCTCCTGAAAACACAAACACACACTTGTTAAGGATATTAAACCCTGTATATTGACCCCAAAACAAATGTGTCTTCTGTTATGTTGTAAACACTCTTTTCTTGCTTGAATTTAATCTTCAAATTAAAAGTTTTTATCATACATTCATCATTTTCCTTCAGGGCTTTATGAACCTGAATATAGACCTGAAATCTGAAACCATCTTCAATGTCCTTGCAGCAGGATCACTATCACTTCTCATTACCCATTCCCAAACTTAATAACCGTGTTTAATATCCCCGCTCGGTATAATAATCCGTCCTCATCTTTCCTGTAGGTAGATGAGGTATTGAACAAAAGGAGACAACAAGGAATAAAGGTGGCTTTTTCTGTGTTGGCGCAGCAGATATATCTTTCTAGCACTAAGGAGCAGCTTTTCAAATGCAAGTGCTTGTCTCCCCTTATTTTGACACGCCAACACAAATATTTCTTATTCTGCCTCCCACAGTTAATCTGTTGCCTGTGCTTACACACTTACTCGAAATAAGATGGTCACAAACATCATTAGTGCTCACAAACACATTTAGTTTCTGCTACATCCCCTTTTGCAAACAAAGAGACAAAAGAGGGATACACACATGCAACCTGCTGATTATTTACCTTCAGTGAGTCCTGTGTGTCGTCCAGGCAGTACACTCTGATGTGATACTCCATGGCGGGGCAGGTCACAGGGCCAAAGATGGCTAGTTGCAGGCGCTTGGTGGTTGAGGCGCTGAGAGATTGGCCCACCAGACAGGAAGTACCCAGCGTCTCTGTCAGGATATGGCAGGACTCGTCCTCCATTTGGATATAGCACGGCGTGGTGAAATTCTCTTCTCCTACCACCACCACATCCTACATGCGGACAGAGAGAAAGAAAATGAAAAAAGTGAGGAAGATAATAAGCGACAAAACAGGAAAAAAACTATTATATAAAACAAAAGATGAAAACAAAAGTAGCAATTATAATGTTTCTCCCTCAAGTGCTGTCTTTTCATTTGTTAGCAAGTGAGTAAAGCCATTTATCGCATGTTCTTCAACATTTTGTTTTATTCCTGGAAATATGACTAATCAATCTATTTAGTAATTTCAAAAACCCCTACATTAATTGAAATAATATCCATTTCATCAAACATAAACAAACAAATTCACAAATTGTTCCCTAATTTACACAGAATTTTATTTTATTTATTTTGAATTTTGGTGCCTAAATCTATTTAATGCATAACAACACTGCATTTAAAACTCAAAATGCTATTTTTGATAATACTCAGAGCTAAAACTTCACCTAATATGACTGAATGAATACCTAAGTCTGAAGCAGAGATGTGAAGAACAAGCTTATCTAGTTCCATGCTCAAATTCAGTTTAATTGAAACTGAACTGATTTAAATTTTCAATTTAAGGGAGAAAGAACAATTATGGGTCAAGGCCTATTTTGATAAGCTGTGTCTTTAAAAGTGTAAAATACTTGGGTTCAACACCCGGCCAGAGTGTATATGAGGTAATAGAAGATTGAGTATCTACAGTAGGACCATTTGCAGTTGACCCCTGTAATGGCACTAATGTCGGGAAATGTTTCACTACCACTAAGACCATCTCGTCTTAGACCGCCCCTCTCTCTCCATCCCTCTTGATCTTTCTCTTTCTCTCTCTAATCCAAACACTCCTTTGAGCAGCACATTGGCATTAATTCAGCCTATTATGAGAGACAGAAGAGGAATTACAGTACTTTATTGTGAGCTAGGCCGTTTAACAGCAGTATTATGGCTGATCATTAGACTCTTTAACTGCTCCTAAGGGATGGCACTGGGGCTCCTTATTGGGGGATAATTAGAGCACACAGTTGAAAAGTAGGCATTTCCTGGCACAAACAATCAAACATGTAAACAAACACACATATTCACACAGCATAATTTATTCACACATTTCTGACTGCATTCATCAGCAGAGATTTCTCTTTAGGGGCGTGGGAGGATAAATCTTTGTAGGAGAGTTACTGAAGCAGAAAGCCCCACATGTTCCTCATTATGTGACCTGCTGTCTTCATCATCACAACACCACGTTCTGCTCAATGACACTGTGTGTATGTTGTGAATGTGTGTGTGTGTGTCTTGACGGGGGACGGGTGCAGCTTCCCTGATGCCAATGTAACTGATTATCTCACTAGGTGGTGATGACTATATATATAAATATCCGGGAATTACTTCTTCAGAGGAGCTCATCCCTCTTGTTTCTACAGCGGTGATGAATACACATTTTGACAGAGCATGTCATAAAAAGCAATATTTCAAACATGCAGCATGGAGGCTGGCCTCAGTGGGAAGACAAGCTCATATAAAGGAAGCTACCGTCGCCTTGGATATTACCATCTGTATTTCTGGCAGGTCAGAGAGGTAATCAATAGCAAGCGTGTAATCACCAAGGGAGACGAGGAGGGTGCATACCTTCCAATATATGATATATGGATATTTTTCCTACCCAATATTTGCAATGACCAGACACATCATGAGATCTGTCAAAAGGTAAGAGAAAACGATTTGGTAACTTTAATATCCAGAGTTAAACTGACTCCAAAACTGAACTCCTGCTTCATGTTGGTGTACATGTTGTTAAGAGTGTGTCCCAAAGTTTTGTTTTTTTCTGTATTCTCGGCGGGCCAAGATAATCACTTCCGTGTCCATGCAAGTAGTTTTGGCTATGAGTAATTGGTTCACCGCTCTGATAATATTATCTTGGCATGAGTTTTTCAAAGTAACAGGCCTGAAGTTTTGAACCAACCAGCTAATCATCGTGTTGTTGGTCGAATTCTGAAACATATGTGCCCAGGTGTGCATTTTCTGTGGTGCATGGTGCTAATTGCCTTGTGTATCTTGAGTTTTACTGAAAATCCAACATATAGCTGCTGGGGAAAGAGTAATAGAGAGTGTTTGATTGTCTCTACAAAACAAGCTCCTATACAGACTTTGTTCCAGGTTGTGTGCACACGTGTGGATACAAACAGAAGCCAGACTGGCTGCTGACACAATAGGTTACACCAGATTGCATCAAACATTCTACACACACACACACACACACACACACACACACACACACACACACACACACACACACACACACACACACACACACACACACACACACACACACACACACACACTTTATCCCAACAAATGTCACCTTTAATCAATAGTCGTTTCCTCTTAAAAGTTTCAGTTTACACTGAGCTTTATTGGCTGCCCCTGAGCAATACATCAATGTCACAAAGACATGTGGGGCCAGTCTGGCAGTTTTTCCTGTGCTCCATAAGTCATATCATCACATCAGCAGTAGAGATTGTCCAAGACTGTCTGAAAGCGATGTTAATTCAGTCCACTACTCAATAATGAGCTGACACTGGGCCATATATTTCATATAAGCTGGGGCAGAGTACCGGTAGTTGGATTTTCAATATGCGAGTGGCTTGTATGGAATGCCTGTGTAGACTCAACTTTGAATTTATATCTTATTACTTTAACTATGTCATGGAATCCAAATTCTTAGAAAAAATATAATATTTGTGTGTTCCTACTACTGCTTTTAATTCTGCTCATTAAGGTTTTATTTTATATTGTAAGCACCTTCTACTTGAAAAAGGTCTAAGCACTTTCCTGCCTGTGAGAGTTCATTAAAAACCCAATTGAATGAAAGCTTACTCAAAAATGTTCTCTTGGCAGGTACTAAAAGGCAGTAATAAACGGCTACAACAAGGTCTGTTGTATTATTATCCTATGTGTCCTCACGATTTTTATGTAGAGAGATGAAAACTGAAACCCTTTTTAGTTTAAGGCAGTTTATGTAATGAGGGTGGAAGCATAGGTTCTCTACAGATGATTTGTTTGTGGTAATTGTACCTTTTTTGTGTGAGTGTATGCATCTGTGTGTGTGTGTGAAAGGCAGAACACAATCGCACTTGAGCCTTCAGCAACCCAACTTATCCTCATAAGCAACGTTAATGATGGAGCCTGCAGGCAAAGATGTTCCAAATACGCAAATACAAACAAAGCGCACACACACAAACGAGAATGGTCCTTTATAAATGGTATAACATAATAGTTTGGGGAAAAAACAGTCCCAGCCTGTTCCCTGCTATCAGAGGTTTACTGTTTCAGCACCTGGTTGCAACAGGGGTTCCCTCTGAGTGCTGCGCTGCACAAACAAAGCAGGGGAGGTTGATCCCCTTCACCTCCTCCATGCTATCATACCATGCCAATTCATCTTTTTTGTGTAATGTTCTTCCTTTGCTCTTTGCATAGTAGAATTTTTAAACTACCTAATGCTCTATGTATTTGATGGATAAACCACATATGTGGATCTTAGTTAAGGTTAATAAATATCACTTTACCTTCACATGACTCATTTATAAACTTGGACCATGGTGAAAGACATAAGAGTCTAATGCACAGCTTTCGTCACATCTCACCTCCCAGTGGTGCTGCGGTGACTGGCTCTTGAGCTGGATCAGCCAATCCTGTTGGCCGTCAAACACAGCACAGTGATGCATGGTGATGATGAGGGGACGGGTCAACAAGGCTCCGGGGGGCCCACAGCTCACCACAGGGCTTAACACCGTTTGGCCATCATCCACCGAGGGCCTTAAGGTGCACAGAAAATAACACACAGACAAACACACACAATGATTTTTAGTGGTGATGTGACAGCAGTCTCCTTAAGTGACATGACGGTGCTGACAAGGGTGAAGACAGCTCTGGGGAATTGATGAGGAAGATGGCACTGCTTACCTCATGTTGTCCTTCCTCTGAACTGTCACATACATCTCATACACTCTGCCCTGAGGAATGGCCCCTGCTGGAATAAGCAGACTCACTCCTGTGGAGCACAAAAACAGACAGACACACAACAAAGTAGTGTTTAGAGTTGTGAGGTACACCAGTGGAGTATTTACAACAATTTTTCCTAATTTTGGTAGGATGTGCAACAAGACTAAGCGAAGCTGCAATGACGGATCAGTAAGAGAAAGAATGATTGGCATTGACCCGGAAACAGCCACTAACTAGTCTGTACACCAAACTCCAGCACACCAGTCAACATTGCTAATTATCTTTTTTAGAGAAATATAGTAATAATCACAATTCCCTTGAGCCCTGTCTATATTATTACCTAACTTTATTTCCTGCTCCTATGGCACCAGGAAATGGTGTGACATTTCATTTCTAAAATCAATGGTCTCTCCTCTCTTCATAGCATTCTCATATTGCTGCAGCAAGCATGATTTACATTTTTTCCATCTCAGATTGATTTCATATGATGTCCTGGCTGTCCGACTTGTTTTTAGGACTCTACCCCCAACATTCCCTCATTCACACACGTAGACTTACACATACAGACACAAACACACACACTATCTCTCTCTTTCTCTCTGGAGGGGTTTCTCAGATAGCTCATTGATTTCCCATGTCCTTGTACTGAACTTTTCAAAAGGTGACAGACAGCCTCTCCTGCTAGCTAGCAAGGCAATCACTAGTCTGCCACAGGGACATCTTGCACACTGCCACTCTTCCTCACGCTAAAGCTTCAAAGAGATGGGAAATGCATTTTAAGACGCAAAATACCAAACAGCCACACTGACGATGCTGCAAAAATATTTCATTACTCAGACACACGGACAGATCAAATATCAAATGCACACTTTCCTCTCCCTCTGCCTATGTAACATGATGAGGTGGCTCAGCAAAACTACCAGCTCAGAACATTTTTACAGGAATTAAAACGATAAAAGAAAAAGTTAGAAACTGGAGAAGTCAGTGTATCCTTTAATGTCAGTGCTAGTTTTCTACGCCTGTCAACAAGCATCTGTGGCGCGTCCCAAACAGCCCGCATGTGTTTGAAGTGAGGACAGCATGGCTAATGTAAGCTGCCCGAAACAGTATACCTCTAAGTCAGTACACTACCTCCAGTGCTCACACCTTAGCTATCCATCAACCCTTGCCATAATGTGTGTGGTTAACACACTGATAGGTTGCATATGGTTAGGCATAATATTTCAAGGTCACATCTGTGTGTGTGTAAAGGTTATACTGGTAAAGGTGGTAGAGGCAGCTCAGGTCTCAAACATCTGGAACACAATTTATAGGATTTCAGTCCAGTTGGTAGCATATTCAGAGATTTACAACAGTCTTTTCAAATTAGAAACAAACTTATTGTTAATCATTATTATTTCCTCATGTGTATGTGATATTTGCTTGAGAGTTGATAAGTAAAAAGAATGACAAATGTGCACATTTACTAAATTCTGATACAGCTACAGCTCCGACCAAAACAGACAATTGGCAGATAATGAGATTTAAGATTAACTATGAATTTGCAGGGACTTGCATATCCCTCTCAATGATTAAAAAAGTGAATTGTTTTTTTTTCAAATCTCTGCATGTTTTGAAATGCTTAACAGATTTGTGTCCAGTTAAACAAATGAAAATGTACTGATTCAAAGAACAAATGTGAAAACACTTCTTCTTATGGTCTGGTACATTACCTGAGTTGGGCACAATGAGGTGTCCCCCCTGAGAGCTGAAGGATCCCAGCGCGGTGCAGGATGGATCCCTGGTGCGGAGCAACGTCTGGGTCTGCGTGCGGCGGCCCATCGTACAGTCATTGTTGTCCAGGAGGCAGTGTGGTAGCTTAGGTGACAGTTTAGAGGCAATATCTCCTCCCAGGTCATCCTGCGGAGTCACTAAACCTGAGGAGTTGTACACCTTAATCTTCAGGTTGGGAAGAGGGTCGAGCAGAGGGGAATTGGTCATGGGTATTTTGTCAGCCACATCATGAAGGGCGTAGACAGGGCCGCGATACATGGCGGCCGCTGAGGTCAGATCAGGGGGTGCTGTTAGGAGATCAGCTGGAAAAGAAAAGAAAGTGACATCTGTCAAGCAATGTCTTAAGAGAAGTTATCTTCTTTTCAACTCTGAGGACTGGTAAGAAAAATAACCACAAGGAAATGAAGTGTTGGCAGCAATCAACAAGACTGCTGCCTGGCTCTACTTCGTTGTTTATTCAGTCATTAGGGAAGTCCACTCAGCCACCAAGAAACATTAGTCAGTCAGAGAAGTTACAGGCGCAGCTGTGATTCATGAGGAACAGATGGCATCACTAATGCTCAGTTTACCCAGTAGGTACAAGTATAAACGTTCAATCGCTGGTCTGACTGGGCGGAGCAATGGCAGTGGGACCTCTCTGTCCTTTAGCTTCTCCACCACCCCTCTGTTTTCCCACAACACCAAGTTTCTACATAATACAGATGTCAATGTAAATCACATAAATCAAATAGATGTAGTAGTATAATTAGTAGAAGAAGTGTTTGTATTCTTATTAATAATGCTTTACAAAACATCATTTAGGCTACTGTGTCTATGTGGCTAAAAGTTGCATTCATTATTAATTAATTCATGTTTCAAACTCTCAAAAGGTCTAAGAAAACTAAATATAAAGCATAAACAGACAGCTTTTTTATCCGTGTATCTATCACCTTCAAATCTTGTCTTCACTTATCTTTCTCAGACATCTATTGATTAAGACAGCCAGAGGCTACACTCAATATAATGATTCAATATATCTGTCAACACACATAAACTAATAATTGCTTTATAAATATGTGTTAATCTATTTAATAAAACGAAAATCAGATTCATTTTTAAGTTAAGGAGTGTTACACAGGGGGTGAAACAAGGACAATCATTATTCATCGTCAAATAACATTGTGACATTTATTGTTGCGGTAAGTAAGTCCAATGAAACCCTCAGACATTGCCTTCTTTTTACTTTTGGGTTATCCTGTTGCTTGCAAATGTTTCTTCATGTGTTCAATGCTGGATTATCTTTGATGTGTGTCTTACAGTGAAAGGGACAACAATGGATAGGGCGCATTAAGCAAAGATTTTGGTTTTGAATACAAAAACATTATTTCCTGTCACTATTGTTGTCTCTTTTTTTCCAGCTTTTCTTTTCCCTAAAACTTCAGACTGACTATAAAGAACAATTTATCTTAACTGTGCATTTCTCTGCTGCCTTTTTGTCCAGCTCATTACCAGATGTCCTCACCTCTGCAGTCTCACTTGCATCATGCAGACTGGCCTTATTATGCCTTAATGAACATTTTGGCCTCCCATCACAACGACAAGCATTTTAATAGTTTCATCACCTCGCCCGCACAAACATGCTGTCTGTATTCCTCTCACAAGCTTCCTGCTCATCTTCAGTCAAAATGGCACATTTACATTACATCACTAACGCATGTCATGCCAAAGCTGCTGAGTCAAATATATCTTGATGGGTTAATATGGGTTGCTTATGCAAGCGACTCACAGTGGCTGACAGCATGTGTGCCATCCAATGCAGGGTAAAACCTAGATACTTCCCCTCAATCTAACAGAAATGTGTCTCTTATATCGACCGGGTATATTTGTTGACTTGTTTACTTAGGGTTCAATTAGATTTTTAAGGATTTAACTACACATTTTACATATATTTTGGTATCAGTGTTGAAACTTAATTATTGAAGCTCATCCACAGGTGATTTAAAAAGACAGAAAATCATGTATGCATGTGAAAACAAACTACAGACGTACATTCATACAAACACATATATATATATATATATATATATATATATATACTATGTGGCCTACCTTTGCGGGCAGTCTTGATGCTGACTGGCTGGAAGCCTCCATTGAGGGCGGAGGTATCAATGATGTCAGAGTCAAAGTCGCGGTGGTTCTTCCTGTAGATGAAGAGCGCCACGACCACAGAGATAACCAGGCACATGATGACCGCGATCACGATGCCCACATACAGCGCTACATCATCTGTACTGGGAGCCACTGGAAGAAGAGGAAGGGGCGGGGGGGGGGCAAAAGACAAAGAAAAATTGTATTTTAAGATCTAATAAGTTCAACATCAACAGCTTTCTTTCCCCGAGCTTGCAGGAGTTGTGATGAAGCCATTATCTGCAGACTAATATCCTGGCTTAGCATAGAGCCGGATATTAATAAGCATCTACTGGGAAATAAAATGCATACACTATATCTCCTGTCGTTTTTTAATGTCTGCCCGCTGTGTCAAATAATCTCGCTTGTATTTAATAATTAAGGACACTCTTGATTGTCAAACGTGAAAACAGAAAATTATGCTTGTAACACTTTATTGTCTTTCAGTTTTGCCATCTAACACTTCATTTTGGGGCACACAATTACTACTGTAGTGATTTTAACAAAGTCCCTGGTTAACATATCCTTTAATAACACATTTAATAACACATAATATGTTGTGTGTGAGAGGGAGTTAAATACCACGAATCATACCGATAATTAGAAAAAAGAAAATAAATATAATGATGTTAAACTCTGTGCACAACGGAGCAATTAATAAGGAGGGCTGGTCCACTGCCATCCAATGACACGCTGTCCTAATAAGCAGACTCAGAAGCGAGATCAAAAGTTCTGAAGACGGAGATATAGATGTTTTCATCTTCAAATTATCCTGCCCTGTGTTGGAGTTCAGAGACTGTCTCTGTCTTTGTTCTTAGACACTGTAGATAAGATCTAGACATAGCTTGCATTTCTCAAATTGTCTTTCATCTCTGTCTCCTTCCCGGAGTTTTTCTGTCCACTTTCCAGCTGGAGAAACCTCTGTGATTAGCAGGCCTGGCATGGAAAGAGCGACTGTTGGAAACACAGACTCAGACAGGCACTCATTACCGATCAGACCTTTTAATGGATGCCTACTGACAGTCTGAACTTTCTGTAGTGTTGGGTAAAGAATGTCCTTCACTGTCACCAAGTTGACAAATGGGGGGGAAAACAATTCTTTAAAAGGTAGCGAAATGTCAGAAGGCATGTGTGAGCCTGTACTGTATGTGTGCATTGTTCAATGCGTGATTACACACTGTAAAGTATATGTCATTGGGCTTACCACATGTCAAAGACCAAAGAATACACACACTTTATTATTTTAGAGAAAGTAAAGTTATTTTGATAAGAGCCACATATCTGTTTTTGAGATCAGTTAAGTATGCAAATGACAGAGAATCTGCACCAGTAGAGGGCAGCATCAGCCATAGATCCATACACAAAGCTTTCAGGACATGATGCCGAGCATTTGTGTAAATTAGCCTCATGTGTCTCAGGGATACAGATGGCACTCAATCTGTGTCTCTTGTGTTCTCTTGCACAAAGGAGAAAAAGATGGAGAAAAGCAAGAGAAGGGAGTGTTTTTATGACACTAAGAAGCCATACGTTTTTCTTTTTTACTACATCCTTAGCCTCAAAGTGTAAAAGCACTTAGATAATTTTTCTACAGCTAAAACTCAATGTTTATTTAGTCGGATGCAGTTTTCGAAAAATCTATTCAAACAAGAACACCACTCAATTAGTAAAAAATCCTTCATATATTTCAAATTCTATCGACATGAAACTGGGTATGACCTTCATCAGGGCATTCATTTTTGCTCCCAGCATTAACATAATCATTAGAAAGTAGAGTTTCTGTAGGTCAAGATGTACTGAATGGCCACAATTAAAGAGGCGGGGGGAAGACTTTGTTTCCCTCTGCCCTGAAGAAGGACATGTGTGGCCTTACCCGCTCTTTTCAGCCTCGACTGAGACATCACATTAAAGAGGAGTGTCAAAATATATCCTCATATACTGGATGTTAGGACTCTAATCCTTCCTCCAGCAAGAGACGAGAACAGAAATCAGAGCAGGGGGCCAATGATGAAAGTCTGAAAATGTAATTTCACTGTGCTTCCTCTGCCAAGCTGCCCCTGCAGTTATTTAACATATATCCCCTCAGTCGAACAATCTTCTAGCCACGCTTTGATGATAAAGGCAGCAACCTGCTAAGTGTAAGCATTAAAATGTATCACTTAGATGAATACATCCCTTTGAACATGAGCCATTGTCGGAAAAGGAAAAGTACAAGAAATGGAAATGAAAGGGATTATTGAACACTTCATCAGGACTGGTGAGATACAAAGAGAAATAAATATACACTAGGAAAGGAATTATGGGTTAAATTAGTGCCAGAATCGGTGCCGGCTGAAGTTCAGGAGGAGCAACAGGGTAAAGGGCATCAGCTGTGAGAGACATGATAGAAAAATAGCAAGGAAATATACAGCTGGCTAGCAGAGGCACATTATGAAAAAAGACAAAGCTGAAATCAAAAAAATAAATGCCCATAGGTTGTTATCTGCATGTACAAAAGACAGAATAGCAGTAATGAAACATAGATGGACATGAAAAAACAAAGGGAAACACTCTTTTGTTTTGTGTTTTTTTGTTTGCAAAGACGCAATGTTTAATTAATTATTTATCTTGGTTTAGAAATGGCCGCAAATTTCTTGTGCAAAACCTGCCAATGAAGATTAGAGAACGAAAAACATATAAGAATGAATGGAGAAATAATGTGAAAAAATAAATGATACATGAAAAAAACTCACATGAATTTCCAAAACCACTCTTTTCCTTTGCTTCAGAGGACTTCTGATATAAGGAACCTTGAAGAGATTGTGGGTGGGAGAGAGAGTAGGGAAGGGAGGGGGAGGGGGGGTGAAGGGAGAGGGAAGGATGAAAATCAAATTCAAGCCAACAGAAAAACAAACTCAACAAATGAGACAGCAACAAACTCATGAGTAGGAGTGATGACACTAGGAAGCGATCTTTCTTGATTGTGCCCCTCCTCTCCAGATCTGTGTATAGAGTATGGAGATGGATGAGACGAACGGGGGGGAACATGCAGGTTCTGTGAGGAAGTGGCTCTATCTATCCACTGAGCTTAGTGCCTCAGCAGCAGCAGGACTGATCCTGGCAGGTGAGGGGATGGAGGGGCTGATAAAGTGTGGGCTCCAACAGTCAATAGAACCAACAGCCTTGTATATGTCGCTGGAAGGTGGATGGAGAGGTTGGTGCATGGGACAAAAGGAACGATTATGCTAGGAATGCAGGAAAGGGAAAAATGTTGAAGAGACAGATAGATTTTCTTGGGTGCCACCTGGGCTTTTGGTTGGCTTTTTTGTGGCAGTTGTTTCGGAAGGCAGTGTAGAGTGGCAGTCAGGGTTAGTGCAGTTGTGCACATAATATTCAGTCTCACAGGGACATCCATAAACAACTATACAAACAATGAAGTCCTTATTGGAGAGGGAGAGAGCCACAGGCAGACAAGTGGACCGACGGGAAAATCAATGGCTTGATAGATGGGGCTGGTGTGTTCATGCAATCAGGCACGGGTAGGCCGGGCCGGAGCAGGGGGAGGTGACTGTCAGGGTCAGTCTAACTGATGGCCCATTTGAACCCATCCTGTAGAGTTTCCATTCATCCTTCAGACTACAGTAGAGAAAAGCATGCTACGGTGGGTGGGCTCCAAGGGAAACCTCATACGCCCAGGGAAACAAAGATTATTCCTTACTGACAACATAGTGCTGGAGAGGAAGGGGGGGTCATGGTACAGGAAATCACTGTCTGTGTTTCGACCATTACTTACTCCTATGTGGCAAGTTTCCAACCTCAGAGAAGGATACTGTCGTCTGGCAAATATGATGTCATTGTTAGAATAGCTAAAGTTCTTTTTTCTTCCTTGGTGGGGAATCTACATTTACTGAAATCAATGATTATGCACCAAAGATATTTACATTTAATTCAAATGTATCATCCAGTATCGTGTTAATAACCTCAGGTTCCAGGAAGGCTGAAGCGATCCTCTGCGTAATGATTTCCCAGTGTCTGGTGTTTGATAGAAATAAAGCATTTGCCCTTGCTGAAGTACATGCTCCCCCTCCCTACATCAATATGTCAAGAAAATGTCATGTCTGAGTGCAGCGTTACCCTAGACCTGGAAAACAACATTGGGAATCAACGAAGGTAGAACACAGAGGGAGCACAACACAGATATGGAGACAGGTCAGCCTCAGTGAACTGTGAAAACTATACCCCTGTGTTAGAGTTTGGGAGAGGCAGAGTGCAACTTCTATAGATCAATCTGTAGACACATAACTCTGTTAACTCCAAACCCCAAACTCTCCGGCAGTCTAAATGTGATAAACAAGCAGCAAAGTTAATTATAACACAACTCTCTCCATTTTGACTCGGGTCAGTTATGTTTTTGTGCAGCGTTGGAGGCTGAGCATCAGGAATTCTATTTCCAACTCTGGTTATATCAAATTCCTTTGCCAGATTTCTGCGATGGATTGCAATTGAAATGATTTAAATAAATTCACACAACAGAAAATAAGATCAAGCTGCAATGGAATCCACAGACACGTGTTTGCTGAGATCCCAGCCCTGCACTGGAGGGAGCAGATCAGTGGTCTGAGGTGAGTTCAGATTGCATGCAACCTCCATTCCCAATCATATTTGCCATAATGTGAGCTTTTAGATAATGGGCCGTTCTCCTAAATGCTAGTGGAAATGGTCATTAGCATTGACATAAGTGGCTTCACCCTCTTAGCTTCCAAAAAAATCAATTCCTGAGATGATCCTAAATCTATATCCTTATGGCTTTATATTCTTTGCAAACTCACCATCAATCTACCCAGAACTAATGCATCTAAGGCAGGGAAGTGTAGGTTGAACATATGCTTTGCCGCAGAGGGAAATAAAATAAGATGAATAACACAAATAGCAGGACGTTATTTTTCAGATTGCTCCCCGATGTTTCTATACATTATAGACATATGACCCTGGCTATAAAATCAGCTAATGCATTCCTCTCACGCTGATGTTAAATGAAATCACTGAGTTGCAGTCCATACAAACGGACAACAGTACGGTATGCGTTTACTTTGGACAGAGACACGCAGATCCACCTAAAAATGCATATTGGACACCAATATGATGTAATCCGTAACGTATAATATATCATGTCGACACCATATTTGCAGGTATCAGTTTAATACCCTATAGTGCAGCAAAATCTCACATCAGCTGCAAACAGTAACGGCCAGCTGTATCACATTTTAAACATCCAGCAGCTGAGCCTCTGTTATATTATTAGTGTCACAATCACCATCTGTAGTAGATTATACACATGACGGAGGCATCTGTGACACTGAGTGGGTCTAAAACCTTCAGAGATGTTTATTGGGGAGGATCTTTATTAAAAAAGACACAGAGTTTAACTAAGTTACTGTGCAGTATTTCCAGCTTTTTCCTTTCCATCATCTTTCTCGGAGATCAAGGTATCAAACACTTTACCCAGTAGCTATATAACACACGGTAAACACACACGTGTGCATCAGAGAAACTGCAGGATGACTCAAAGCTGTGAACGTATTATAATGGAGAGGCAGCAGAATTGTTGGCTCGACTAAACTGCACGGCTGTTTTTAACTTGCTGGAAGAAGGAGAAGCAGAAAACAATTTGCTGCCTGCAGAAAAGTATCTGGCTGCACCACAAACTGACATTGGCCTTTTTTCGGCTAGCAACAAAACAAGAAAACCAATTAGAGAATTGTTATTTATGAGAAACAAATGTTTTCGCATCCTTGAGCCTTTTTTTGTACTTTAAAAACATTGTAAGTCTAGATTATCATGTACAATAGTGGCTCACTTTCCAACACATTCATTTCAGGGAAAAGGAGAAAGTCTACACTCGTGTTCCCTCCCACTGGACCTGAGGAATAAGCACTTTTTAAATTAAGGTAATAATCGAAGCAGCCTGGTATATTTGAACCCCTTGTGCAATTACAATATAATCACATTTTATTATTTTAATAACATCTCCCAAATGCCTGTGACAAGAATAATTACTTAAAGCACTTCGCCATGTGGCCAAGTCTTTTTTTAACATACACTTACATTTGCAGCAGAGAGAAAAGATTTGCAGGGGTTTCTGCTTTAATGTCACTTTTATCCAACATTTTGTGTGTATTATGAACAGGCAAATAAGGAGATGAAGTGCAGAAGACAGGGTGAAAGGCATTTTAGCATGTCTTATTGTTTATGTATGAGTGAGTCGAAACAGAGGGAGTGAGAGACAGGGTGAGAGTGCTATGCGGGGATGTGAAACACAGCGGGTGAAACTCATGGTCAAAGGGTGCAGAAATGTCTCTTGTTGGCTGGTCAGAGAGAGTAGCAGAGGATTTGTCGGGTACTCACTCTGCATGCACATCCCATCGGTGCAGTTCTTGGACAGGAGCACCATGCCCTCACAGTCCTTTCCCCCGTTTTTGGGTGCTGGAGAGCCGCATTCCCTCCTCCTCCAGTGGGTGCACTCTGTCCCACAGGTGGACCACTTACTCCACACTGTCCACAGGCCATCCACTACCACACAACAGACAGGACAGACAGATGGGGGGGGGGGGGGGAGTGAATGAAAATGGACGATGAGAAGATGAAGAGAAACGAGTGCATGAGTGGGTGAGTGGATACGTGATTGAGACAGCGAGAGATATGTGGGAGAGAGACAAACACGTAAGGGTGGAGGCACAAACAGAGCGAAATATGCAAACACCGAGTTGTATCATATTTTATGTTTTTTCGTTTTTTGTGCACCTTTACCCTTTTCCTCCCACTACGAAGTGGGTGTATTGTAATGTGATGCCATACCTGGACAGAGAGGATTGCATGCCAGCTTCTGGATGCCTTGCCCCTCACAGATGGCGCCGCCGTTGAGTGGGGCCGGGTTGGTACAGCTGCGTGTGCGTTTCTGGTAACCACGGCCACAGCGGCTGTTACACACTGACCACTCTGTCCATGTAGACCATCCACCATTTACTGGGAGACAATGAAATGAAACATGTTAAAACACTACCTATACCAACCTCATTCTTACATTTATATTACATTTTCTAAAATAAATTAAAAGTTGGAAAAAAGGAAACAAAACCAATAAAATGCGTCAATTAATAAACAGGCAACATAATAAAAGACCGTTTTTACAGACAAAATCAGGAATGCTAAGTAAAAGCACTGAGCGACACACAATTGCATTGCTCATTGTAAAGTGTATACTGTTTAGTTCTTGTGTATTTGACCCTGATATATCAGGCTGTTACTTTGCCATGCAGTCAGAGTCAGACAGTAAATTCTGGTCAGATAGCGACATTTTCCATTCACTGACTCCTCCTAATGCCTTCCTTCCCTCTCTCATTCATATCTGTCAGCGACTAAATCCAGTGCAGAGTGACACGACGGCTTGTGGCTGAGAACAAGTCTGTGGCATTTGAGATGGTGGAACTGGGCCCCTTGGAGCCTCCGACTTTCAAATGTGACATGCTTATGAGTGAAGCCCAAAATATTGGACTCTAGAGGAACACTGCCAAAGCCCCACATTTATATACTGTCTACTCTCTTTCCTCCGTGGATTATGGATATATCTCCTCTCTCCCTCTTGTTCTCCTTTGCTGCCAGCTTGTGCTCCTGTTTCCAGTGTCCTTGTAGTCGGTTTGAGCTGGAAATCACTGGGCTAAAAACAGATTGCCTGTCCTTCTCACTTTTTCATCGGTAGTATCGGACACAAATCTCCCTTATCCTTAGGGTTTCTCATGCTGCTTTATCGATGTACAAATGTACTTTCATATACTGCACAACTGTGCATAAAGGACAAGTACCCCATTGTTGGCTTGGAAAAAAAAGCAGACAGAACTTACAGACAAAGAGGCTTGTTGTACTCTCAAGGATGACATCAAAGCAGTTTTTTGCCACTTAGTCCTAATAAAAAGCGTAAGTGACAGAAAAGCCTTGCACAGACAGCGACCCTTGTCCCTGAAATCGGCTTTCTTGGATTTACAATTTGTGTTTCTACAACGCCCTTACATTGATCCCCACCAGCCACATTGTTCTCAATGTGCATGAGACAGCGGCGAAAAGTAATGAGAAAATTATAGATCTGAAACTTAACCCTGGTGAATGTATCAGTTTCAAGCATCTGTTCACTCTTGTGTCTCGTGTGTTTACCGATCCACATGCAACACCTCTTTACTCAGTGTGAATATGCACAGCCTCCAGCAAGCATTAAAGTTCCAGGCTGCACAATAACAGTCATGTTAGCTGATGTTAGGAAAACAGTGGGTGAGTCTGTGTGAAACCACAGCGGGGGTCCCTTTAAGTAAGGCTCAGCCACATCAGCACCTCGCTTACAGTTCGGAAAATGACTAATCTTCCATCCCTTGCACACCTTCCGGCAGAAACAAAATGAGAGAATGTAACATGCCGCAGGAAAGAGAGGGATTTGTTTTACGCAGAGTGACTTTGAAAGTTTTATTTTGAGTCGAGGTGCCTTCTTATAGTAATTCAACACTTTTCCTCTGCACTAGTGTCTGGCTTTACTGATCCCTCATGTGGCCAGTAAGGAGGAAATGTGTTTTTGGATCTCATTGACTGGTCTTCAATGTTAAGTTAGTCATTTTTACCATAGACGATAACTGTGGCGGTGGTGCTGCGTCTCTTGGCCACGATGTTCTTAGCAACACAAGTGTAGTTGGCAGTGTCAGAAAGGCGGGCCTGTTTGATGATCAGGTTATGGTCGATCGTGATGTAGAAGTTTCTGTCATCTGCAGGGTCAATAACTTCCTCGTTCTTTAACCACTCCACCTAAGAAGAAAAAGAGAACAGAACATGAAAAGACAGGCAACAGAAACGTCTTTCAAACAGTAGCTGTAATAAGACATTTTGACCTCAATTAAAAGTGTAGAAAAAAATCCCAGCTAAGTGTTCAAACAGCTATTGTTTTTCTTGTTTCCGACTAAACTATCAAGTAGCAGTGTTTGCAAGAATTAGAGCATTTATGTCTCAGAGTTCCTGCTACAAAAAGTCAATGGCTATCATGTTCATTTTATTCTCCCGTAGAACAACACACCACAGAAACAGCAGCCTTACTAGACAGTCCAATTCCTGAAGCTGAGAGGTTCTATGACCTTTTCTTTTGAACTTCATTTCTCTAATGATACAAATATTGAACTCCTGGCGCTATCACAGAACAGGGAGCCTTTATTTTGCTGTAATTTACCAAGATCCTTTTTCTCTTCAAAAGGTGTAAAGGTTGTGAAGGTTTGGAAAAGAATAGCAGTGCTGTCTCACGTTGCAGCAACACAAATATTTGCTGGCTCTCTGGTTTTCTTCAAAGGAGCTGTCCAGTGGTGGAAAGGTCTGGCAAAAAGCTAACTTCCTGTGTATTGTGATATCCCATGAGGAGCAGGGCCTGATAAGAGATAAGACCCTAAGGAGCAGTACAGGCAAAGATAAGTAGGAATGTTTATAAAGGGTCTTTCTCATGGAAGATAAAGTATCTCAAAATAAAGTGGGACAATAAGCTGATATAAGGCCTGCGGAGACAAAGCGGTGTGCAGGCTCACTGTTGTTGTTGTTAGATAAAAAAAACAGCATGTAGTGATGCAGAGTCGTACAACACATTGGGCATATTGTAAGACCAGCATTGTTAGAACTTTCTCAAAGGGAGAGATGGGCTGATTGTGACATGCACTGAGTTACATGCATCACCAGCTCCACAAGTATCTGTGTTTGTTTGAGATGACAGATATCAAAGACGCCATCAGAGTCACACCTCAGCTGCCTGCTCTCTTATCCAGTGGGAAAACATAGGAAAAGCTAGAAGAAACTATTTTTAATACTACACAATTATTTCATACCTAAACTCTACGTTCCCAATCTTATAATACAACACAAACACAGAGCAGTTCATAAAACACCATGACAAACTGACATCTTAACAGACACTGGATGTAAAGTCAATATGAGGAGAGCTATACAGTAAACCTCTGTAAGCGGTGTATATTCTCTGCAGATTCGGTGCTTATGATTGTTTTTCTCCATAAACATGTATTAGCTGATTTAATCTCATGCAGCTGGAAAGGATGGGATTCACGCATAACATCTAGCAGCTTAAATTAAACCTCGCTCTCACCATGCAATAAACTGCATGACATAAATTGGGGTGTATGCATTACATCTGTCACTCACTCAGAGACTGTTTTTAGACATCATCTTTATTCCTCATGATGCTACTTTTAAGTGTAAAAAGACCAGGTGTTTATATTGGCGCTCATTTTATTTAATTTTAAACTACATGATTCAATTAGCTATAATACCACACAGTTAATAATACAGTAACTGCGGTATGATAGCTGACCAAAGGTACAAACCATTTATGTTTATAAATCTGTTTTTAAATCATCTTTCATATTTATTTTTGTAATTATGGTTGTGATATGTAACATGACTAAACCTATGTTACGAATTGTGTTAAATTGTGTACTTACATCAGGGGTTCACAACCTTTTCTCCCAAGGGCCCCCCCAAATGACTCCTGTTGGAAGTTGCAACAGCGGTAATTAAAGTTTAAAAGTCTCAAAAATGCTACAACTACTGTCATAAACTGGATGAATGTGAAGTATTTTGTTAAAGGACGATGAAAGCGTAATTAAGGAGCTCTATTGGAGTGACTGATTATTGGAATCAGGATTAATTCATTTGGATTCCCGCTGAATGAAGAAATTAAAGGAGGGTGCAAGTGGAAACAATTCACAAAGGGATTAAACTGTCTAAAACACATGCTCAAAGTAAGCCGGATTTTGCCGTTGTGTTTATGTGGATTCAAAAGTTGTAAATAATCTACAAAATGGAGGAGACCGATCTGATCAGAGCAACTGTGACGAAATAATCCAACTGAAACCGGCATGGACAATGACTATGTTTTAAAAATGCGCTTATCCAGAAAAGCCTGGTTTGGACACGTTACGGGCAGAAGAAACATTTCTATTAAAGAAAAAATTATACATTTCTGTCTTTTTATGCCTTTAATAGCTACTAACTTGAATTTTTATTTATATTTTATTGTAATGTAGAGACAAGGCTTTTAGTGACAATCATGTATTGAGTTACAATTATATGTATAAAAAAAAAAAAGTCTAAATATGATATTTGGCCTCAAATCATCTGAGGCCTGGCGCCCCCCCTGCGATCTTTGGCGCCGCCCAGGTTGGGAACCACGGACTTACATTATCCTAAATGTTTCAAATACATTTTTAACATTGAAAGCTCCCGTAATTTGACTTTATTTTCAGTCTTAAAGCACCTTTTCACAAAACACTTTTTAGATCTTAATCGTTTTTTTTCTTTTTTGGAATTAAAGAGTTAATTATTCAGACATCCTTATTTACCAGATAAACAATGTTTACAACCTTATCTTAAAGTGAGTAGCCCCTCTGTCCTGTGTCCACTAGGGAAAGAGATTTTTAATCTGCTTCATTCTGTGTTTAATCTCAAAACATTTATGCAATGGTTACTCCAGGAATGTATATCAAAGCCTCTCCATAAATTATAGCTGTATATAATTAGGCATTTCATTAATTTGCTATTAAGTTGGCTTCTGTTTTTATTGTAGTGCAACAAATCTGCCTTGGCATCTGCTAAAGTGGCAGTCAGACATCTGTCATGACTTTCGGGAGAGGAGCCATATTAGATTTATATAATAATTCACTCAGCTGTAGCTTCAGGTGACATTTTCTCCCCTTGAGGTCTGAACACTGAAAATATCTTTCCCAAAGATCTTCTTATTATAAACGGTATTGTTTTTATTCACATATTATACATAAGGTAAATAACGGTTCAATATGTTTATCTTTATTCACTATGATGAATTCAGATTACAGGAAGGATAGTCGATGCAATGTATTCATTGTATGAGGATTATTGAGATTTTCGTGATTTAGTTTGTGATAGAATGTCACTATTCATATTAAATAATACATTGTACTAATAAGATACACATGAAAGAAGGACCCCTTTGATTGGATAACAAAGATTTGACAGTGATCCCATTTTGTCATTTATTGTGTCTTTTGTTCCCCGTGCGTTCCCTATGGAAAGTGAGCGAACGCAATTCCGATAAAACAAATAAAGATGATGGAAACAAGAAAAACAATGGGTTTTGTTTACACCATTAATATATTGTTATTTAGCTCCTTTCAGCGTGTGCAGAGCACCGAGCATTAGTAAGTAAAAGGTATTTTCTGTGAAAAGAGATTGACAGCTGATACAAAGAGGTGGTTTCCAATTGTTCCCCAATCACAGAGGCAGCCTCTCCAAACGTGCTGCGTTCAGATGTCAAGAGCACTTTTATATGAGAAGGTAATTAAAAATTGAACAAAAGAGCTTTTCAGCACAGATGGAGGGGTGGAAGGAAGACGGAGTGACGAGGGATAGAAAGTGGTAGAAACTCATGTCAGAAGTGGGAACGTGTGTGTGAGAGAGGAAAAGTGAGCAACAGTTCACCCATCATTTATTCTGTACCGAATATAATTAGGACTCATTAATAAAACCAGAGATGAAAAGGTAAGCCAATGTCTACACCACAGTGAAAATATTTCAAATGATGAAATGTTGCAGAAGACTACATCTCACATGGCATTCATCCAACTTCCTCTCATGCCAACAGACTCAAACATGCACACACAGACACAAACTTGCACACACACACAGATACTCGCAGCTCGTTAGCGTCTGATTGGCAGTGAAACATCCGGAGAGGTAATTTGCACATTTCTTGTCATTAACTAAGGGAAATTGCCACATGTCAGCTGTCATAAAGAGAGGGAATCTTACTGTCTGGAGGGAGACAGCCAAGTGAAAGAGAAAGACAGTAAGAGAAAAACCTAAACTTATGAGAAAGTCAGACAAAAAGCAAGACAGGTAGGCACAAAACTGAAAAGAGCAAATTGCGGAGTGAGAAAGAAAGCAGGTGTACTATCAGTAGGAGGACGGTCACTAGTGTACCAAAACAAATATGATAAATCATCACGAGGAGGCAAGAATAAACACACCAGAATAAAGACGGGGAGTGGAGAAAAACGTTACAGAGAAATGTTTTGAAGAGGTAAACAACAATGAATCTTTAGGAAAAGTTAAAGACTTAATTGTGAGGTAAACAAAGAAGAAAGACATCCAACTGAAAGGAGGCTGATTTGTCATCTCGAGCTCTGGAAGAAGCACACACTGATGTATCGGATGGTATTGAATGTAATAATTAAGGTAAAAAAAAAGACCTATCAAAGGAAGGTACTATATAACGTTATGGTTTCTTAAAGATGAAACCAGATGCATTAACATTTTGTTTTCAGGTTTTTGGAGGGAGCCTATATGATGGTCCACATCCTCAGCCAGGTGACGGATTATGATGCACATCCACTAGCAAACATGACAGGCTGCAGACCGGGCTGTAACCAAGGAGTGGAATGTGTCAAAGTGTGCCAGCACAACACCAATTAGCCCAATATACAGAACACACTGTATACAATCCACTCACTTGGTAGGAACCAGTGCAAGGCATAACCATTCATTACTCATCGCTGTTGTGTCAGAAATAGAAGGTACAGCCGAGTGTGGGGGTGGAGAGGGGTGTGAAAAGAAATGTTCCACGGAAATGCGTGAGACTCCTCTACAGAGTCATTATGAGCTCTACTGCTCCTTCGCATGAAGTCTAACTATCTAAGCAATGTAATTTATTCATTTGCCTTTTTTCTCAGGATATATCCGCCGCAGGCTTGAATGACACACCTGGAGAGAGAGCCACAAAA